ATGCTATGAAAATCAAATAGACAGAAAAGACCGCGCAATGGGAACAAAATATAGCGATTTCATCTCATGGCATCTTCACGAAAGTTAAATTATTGAATCTGACTTCTTAATAGGTTCATGGCAGTTAGTTAAAGGTAAAATAACAACAAATTACCCAATGAACATGAAACGAAGACAAGAATTGCACAATACCATGAATTTTTACATATTTATTTCTTCAATACAAAACATGATGATACTTTGAGGTTGGAGCATGATGGATACATCTTGCGCACTGAAATTGCTTATAGGAAAGCATGGTCGTGCACAATTAACCAACATAAGAAGTATGACCAAGAGATATCGTGTACTCACGGCAGGACGCCAGCTAGATTTCCAGCCAATCCAGAATACAAGCCTTTGCATTCAATTCGGCTTCCACCACGAGCAGCCTGCGCAGATCACAAGCTTAAGACAGCATGTACATGTTGCAACTCTAATATGCCGGTAAACAATAAGCAGAAGAAAATGGATTCATCTAGGAAACTAAAAGCGTAAAACAGTAAATTATAGACTAGACAGAACACTATTTGACCATCAATGGGGAATGGGATTGAAGGCACATTTAGATAGGAATTTTGTACCCAATACACATCACTTCTCTTATTATTGCAATACATCTTGTTATTAAAACAGCTATTGTGCAGTGGGAAATTAAATTGACCTGAAGCCTGGTTTTTATAGTATCAATAGGGTACAATGCTGTTTCCACAACAACACCAGCGGTTCCTCCAGCTATGCTTCCCTCTGAAATGAAAAGGTTATACATAAGAACAAGTTTGCAACTTTTTTGTTTATTCTTCAAAACAACAATTGCCAATTTTACATCAGAAGAAAAGAGCAGGAAAAAGTGCCAAGCCACATTCTATTTAATGGAATGAGCAAAGTTTGTAACAAAGGTACAAACAACTTGCACACAAACCCTCCGGCAATAACCACATGACCAAATTTTCAGAAAGTAACCTAGTAACTCCCAGACCAGCAGGATTAACATATTGCATTTAGCACTCCTCAATCCTCATTACGCCACCTAAATAGGGAACTGCCCAATAACACTGACTTAAGTTTGAACATCCATTTCCAGCATTGCAAAAGTTGAATTCCAGCATGAAGCATGTGAAACCAATTTTGTAGTGGAAGTTGAAACTTCCTAACTTACACCAGTGACAATGAGCAACCACAAGTTGGAACTACACTCAGAAGAGACATCCAACAAACGAAGCGGAGAGTGCTGCTGGAGAGATATCTTTCAAAAAAAAAAAGTACTACTGGAGAGATATAGGAGAGACTGACGCACCGAGCAAAATTTGAAGGAAATTGAACGACTTCTCTTCTCCGCCTTCTCCCATGTCTGACTGCAGTAGCGAGCAATGCAGGAGCGGACCAGACACATATACACCCGATAATTTTTATACACAAACTCAAGTTAGTACGTATCATATCTATTATTTAAATATAAATGGGTCAGATTCAATCCAATACAAATTACTTATAGCAGGGATTGGGGTACTCGGTTTCACGCTGCAGGAAGGAGAGAGAAGAGTCGGGCATACCTGGTGGGTACTCGTCCCCTGCGAAGAACTCGCTAAGGGCGGCGGCGCTCGCCCAGTCTTGGCCGCAAGGTAAGAAAGGGGCGCGCGAGAGCCGAGGCCCGAGAGGCGAACGGGGGAAAGAAAAAGGGGAGAACTGAAGAACGCAAAGCAACGACGCTCTCGAGCCGTCAGGATGGATGCCAGGGCCAGGATATGGCTGACTGTTTTATGGCAGGACTATCACCGGACATCCGGACTGACGCCCGCTGCTCCTCTGTTTCCACGCATAGTGAGTGGACGGCGCGGCGCGGACCTCAGCTTGCTGCGGAACTATCACGCGGATATCACGCTGCGTCATGCCCACCCGAGGCCACCACCTCCTCGTGCGCCTGTGCGCTAGTTGGGTATGGTTTCTCTGCCGAACTTGAACTGCCACGGCAAGGTGATGGAGGGAAGGGAAGAGAAGGAAGGGGAAGGAGAGTTGGGCGAGGCACGTTACGCGAGGAAGGACGCTGTAACGTCAGCCACCGGCGCCATTGCGACACGCCAGAGTAAAAAAATACATTGAACATCTTAATATCCAGATAAAACATTTACAATATACGTTTGAAAGCAGATAAAACACTTAAAACATACGTGTATAGTCATTGCAACGTGTACAATACCAAGATTTACTTTTAAAACATTAAGATGAAACATTTGCAACATACGTCTGAAACACATGAAACATTTGAAACATAGATTTCCAACATGCATATATTGTCATTGCAACATATGCAACATCCCAGATCTCCTTTTGCAACATTTAGATAAACAACGAAGGAGGAAAACATAACTTTGAAACAACCGAGCGGGAAACGAGGAAGGCCACCTCCATCTCTAAGCCACGCCATGCACGCCACCCGCCACGCCGATGCACGAACCCGGCCTACCGGCCAAGAACGGTGGGGATTGAGTGGCGTGGGTGGGGTGAGGAGGAGGAGGCCCAACCGAGCGGGTCTTGATGCGGATAGGAGAGCCAAAGGAGGCCACAGGATGAGGCCCAACCGAGAACAGCGTCGGGGGGCGAGAGACCGAGGAGGGCCACCTCCATCTCCGGAGGTGCCGCGGGAAATAGAGCAAGTGGATGGGGATTTTTTTTCTTTTGCACGGGAGCGTGTCCGGACGGGAGTTACGGGAGGGACCATTCTCCGTTGTCTTATCCGTTGTTAAGCCTGTCTCTCAAATATTTTTTTTACAAATGTATAAAGTTAGCTATTTTCTTTTAATGGTTGATATACATAGTCCTAGGCCACACTATGATAGCCGTTGCTTACTTGATTCACGACTAACAATTCTAAGAGCGGTAGAGCTTATCTTAGTTTTAGATTTTGTACGGTAGCACATTATAGTGGTACTATAGCATGATCTGGTGAAGCCATTCCAAACTAGCTTCATTGGCTTCTCGGCATAGTTCATTTTGGGGAGAGAGCAGAAGAGCTTATTGCTACAGTATCGAACAATGATGCTACCACTGTGACAATGGTGAAATTGAAGCCATAGAAGGGTGTTTTCTTAATTGATATCCATCCTGGGGACCGAGCCGTAGGCCACCGGTCAGCATATATAAGGTGTATTCCGTGTCCTGAATTAAGGATGTCGGAGCATTCAAAAATTGTATCACGGGTCCCTGTCCGTAGAGAAGTCTGGAAAAGGAGGAGAGAGATGCAGAAATGGAGAAATAGGGACATGCAGAAATAGGGCAGGTCTTCGTCATTGATATCGGTGCCCGATCCTAGAATGTCTATTATTGCGGGACGGAGAGAGTAAGATATAAAAAAAAATGATATCCATCCTGTAGCAGGTACTTTGGTCCCTCTTAACAATAAATAAAACACTTCATGTAATTCATAAAGAATATATATATATATATATATATATATATAATGGGATGGGGCTAAACCACGGGCCGCGCGCGGGTGAAGGCGGCTACTCCGCACCTGCTACAACGACGGCGGCGAACAAGACACCATTCCTCGTTGTATTGAGATGGGGCTTGAGCAAGCGACAAGTGAAGACAACAACAACTAGTGCGGAGTGGGGTGTTGCGTCCGAACGTCTTCATCCGCACGGACGGGGACAGCAATGAGGTGAAACCTAAAGCCACAAGTATGGAGGAAATAGAGCAAGTGGATGGGGTTTTTTTTTTTTTGCACATATACTCCGGTCGTGGGAGTATGCACTTATACTATCTAAATCTTGGTGTATGTGCATATCCCATTCCAAAAGTATGTATAAATACTCTATTCGGACGGAGTTACAAAAAGTATGTGTGCATCCGGGGAGGGACCATTCTCCGTTGTCTTATCCGTTGTTAAGCCTGTCTCTCAAATATTTTTTTTACAAATGTATAAAGTTAGCTATTTTCTTTTAAAGGTTGATATACATAGTCCTAGGCCACACTATGATAGCCGTTGCTTACTTGATTCACGACTAACAATTCTAAGAGCGGTAGAGCTTATCTTAGTTTTAGATTTTGTACGGTAGCACATTATAGTGGTACTATAGCATGATCTGGTGAAGCCATTCCAAACTAGCTTCATTGGCTTCTCTTTGTTGGTAGTTCATTTTGGAAGGGAGAGAGCAGAAGAGCTTATTGCTACAGTATCGAACAATGATGCTACCACTGTGACAATGACTTTGAAATTGAAGCCATAGAAGCCCCAAATGTCCACCTTTTGTTTTCTTAATTGATATCCATCCTGGGGACCGAGCCGTAGCTCGGTTGGTGAGCTCTCCTGGAGTGGAGGCCACCGGTCAGCACTATATAAGGTGTATTCCGTGTCCTGGAATTAAGGATGTCGGAGCATTCAAAAATTGTATCACGGGTCCCTGTCCGTAGAGAAGTCTGGAAAAGGAGAGCAGGAGAGAGAACATGCAGAAACGGAGGAAATAGGGACACGCAGGTCTTCGTCATTGATATCGGTGCCCGATCCTAGAATGTCTATTATTGCGGGACGGAGAGAGTAAGATATAAAAAAAAATGATATCCATCCTGTAGCAGAACCCAAAATATGAGTTTGGTACTTTGGTCCCTCTTAACAATAAATTAAACACTTCACGCAATTCATAAAGAATATATATATATATATATATATATATATATATATATGGAAAAAAATTTCACTCCCCCGGAGTAGTTACTCCCTCCTCTAAACCACGTACCTAAGGGTGCCGCACTCCCTAATGCCGCAGCGCGGCCGCAGGTGACCCTGTTATGTCCGGCTACTCCGCACCTGCTACAACGACGGCGGCGAACAAGACACCATTCCTCGTTCCGGCCACCCGTATTGACTCCATGGTTGTACCTGATCATAGCACCTTCCATACTTTCATTCTCGGTTGATCTGCAAAATCTTACGTGCGTTAATCACAGCACACAGTACACATCTACCAGTCCAAAAAACAATAACTGACATGGGTGTTGTACCTCCTTTCATTCTCACGAGTTCCATCTGCACCTCCAGCATCCTCCACGAAGATGACCTCCACAACGTCTTCATCCGCACGATCGACCTGAAGCACAGCAATGAGTTTCGATCTACAGAAACCTAAAGCCACAAGTATGGAGACGTACTAACGCTCAAACCTGCCTCCATATATAAGCATCCTACCATAGCCATATACATATATTTTATTCTCAAAAAATAGCATGAACACATACTCTCGTTGTTTTGTATATCACCATACGTTAATGTATGCACATATACTCCGGTCGTGTGGTTTAAGTATGCACTTATACTATCTAAATCTTGGTGTATGTATGCATATCCCATTCCAAAAAGTATGTATAAATACTCTATTCTAAAAAGTACGTACAGATACTCCATTCCAAAAAGTATGTGTGCATCCGGGATCCATGGCAATTTTTCACATTATACAAGTTGTAGTCCTGTAGATACTTATTTCATAAATTATCATCCGGGATCCATGGCAATTTTTGTATAATAATATACTACTCAGTTTCCTTCAACACGTATGTGTGCATACTCTTCTTGCTAAATACGTATAATATGTATGTCCGCATACTCCTCTTACCCATATATGTAGACATACTCCCACTGAACACGTATGCATTCATACAACGCACAGACCGTGTACGTACACATACTCCCACAAACCGTGTATGTACACATACTCCTTGCATGCGAAATTTCAAATACTAGCACAACTTTGAAAAGCGGTAACCAACAGCCAGCCAACCGAAAATAATGGGTTACACGCGCACGGAAAATTATTTATTAATTAATTTGTGATTAGTTAGCTCCTTAATAGATCTTTGGAAACCCGTTAATTGCTGCAGCGCCCTTCTCACCTGCATTACATGCATGTGGGAGTAACTACTCTCGGGAGTATAGAAAATGCAGCATATATATATATATATATCACAAACCAGAGTTTCAAAGAAACCATTCTGTTTATATGTGCAAAAGGATGCCAACAATTAGTCAAAGTCTTTCAAAAACCAAAAGGCTACACCTCAAGACCTCAAGTCGCTTGCAAGCTGATAACAGCTGGTGTTGGTAACTATGACATATTGATTGGCTAAAGTTTATAATATGAATCAGAAAATTACAATAGGCATCAGATCCTATGATGAACAGACCACTGAGTTGTACAACAGCAACCATACAGAGAGCACATACAATTTTGTTTAGTTCAGAAAAAGCCAAACAATATAAATCATTACATGCACTCATCTCTTCATGAGGAACCCTAGCAGTATTCCCAGAATAGCAACCACCAGTTCTAAAACTAATGAGAAACCACCATGCTGCCTGCTGATGTCTCGCCTCAGAAGGTCCTGTCAAAATTCCAATAAAATTCTAATCAGAATAAATCTGCCCTGCCACTGAAATTGATCCAAGTGTTCAGGTATCCCTGTGGCAGGAAGCAATGCAACAGTAATCCATCCAAAGAGTATTGCAGGCATATTTTGGTACAAAATAGTTTTAGAAGTAACTTTAACCTTTTATTTCTCTTATATTATACATTAATTGCTATAGGATCAAAACCATATCAGAAGCATTTTAAAATATGAATACATAGATATAACTTCTGTACAATAGGCAAGCATATAATTTGATATAGTTGTTGGTCAAGGAAGTTATATGTCAGATAAAAATACGCTTTATAAAAGTGGATGCAGGGATCATGTGAATCTGCACATGTAGTTCTACGCTTGATGGAATCATGAAAAGCAAAAGGCACTAAAAAGAGAACGAGAGAAAGGGATGGAAGATACAAAAAGGACAAGGCTACATGTAGCCCATGTAAAACAGATGTACTAAAAAGGAACCAGGGTACAATCTGAAATTGACCTGTAGAGAAATGCACAAGCTATCAACAGAGAAATAACACAACTTTGTCTAGCCTAGAAAATAAAAGCTAAATGTAGCCTACAGTCAAAGGTAACAGAATTGCACTTGAGCCTATTAACTGTTTGCATAATAAGCAAAAAACCAATGAGGCACTGACCAATTCTTGTCGAAGCTTGTTGTTCAGTTCAACAGCAGAATTCTTCTCCTCCATTAGTTTTGAAATCAAAGCAAATGGCTACAAAGGCATAAATAGACCATGTCAAGCCTCTAATGGATCCATGATACCTACCAAGGCCTCAATTGCTTTGTTTTTAAAAATTTGCTGACATGCTGAAGAATTCGATACAGGTAGAATGCTAAGACATGAGAGCATTACACATCTAATTAAGGTCTGTTTACATCTAAATTTGTACAGATAGAGGACAAATAATTGATGCACGAACACTTGAAAAAAATGCAGTAAAGGACATTGTAGGCACATGACAATAATCACAAGACTGCAAATGTCAACTGCGAGAAGATTGAACAAATACAGTTAAATCTGCTATAGCCAAATAAGAGAATAAGTTGAATTAACAGGTTGAAGCAACGCTACGGTCTTATAATTGAATGCTCTTTGAGAGACTAGTCATAGGATATGTCATTTGGAAACAGTATATCCAATGTTAATTGCTTCAAGTAGAATGCTCTTAGATGAACTATCTAAGACGCATCTCTAATTTCTGAATCTTCAATAGTTTTCATCCAGTGGCAGACAGATACTGGAATGAGCTCAAGCGATACATTTAGAGCAGTGGTTAATTCCATCTAGTTCAGTGCACTATTTAAGCAAATCGCGTGCTGACGCTACAAACTTGATGGCTTCTGAGGTATGAGTATTTCAAGTGCAAAAGTACTACATCTATCTTTACTAGGTATAGCTTGACAAGTTTTATACCTCAGAGATTATTTTTTCTGATTCTTTAGGTTCTTTGGTTTCCTGCAAAGAAAGAACCACTCTCAGTTTTAGAAGGTGGATATTGGGAGAGAGAATCAATTATCAGTGCAAAATGTTATAGTCAGTCAGTAGAAGAGAATAAGCCCAAGTGTTCTTTCAGACAGTAAATTGTTGGCATAGATCATGAAATACATGCTGTAATTATAGAAGAGTAAATTCAAAAACCTAAAAAGTATTTTGACAAGGGTTGAAAACTACAACTTCTGGAGCCTATTATAGAAACCTGTAACTATTTTGACATCTTCTTGCCAAAAGCAACAACTTCCTCAAAAACCTAAAAACTATTTTGACATCTTATTGCAGATTGCATTAAAAAACATCTTATTGCAGAAAAACTGCAACTTAGGTTTCTGCAATATGCCCCAAAGTTGAAGTTTTCTGCAACCTAAGTGTAAATACTTGTAGGTTTCAGAAATCTACTACATATATAACAAACAATTCTGAAATCAAATTCTTACCTCTTGATAACTCAAACTGCCCAGATTACCATCCTCATATCCCTCGCTTTGAGAGGACGATGGTGCTACGTAAACTGCCTTCAACTTCACTTCATCCACTATATTGCCTGAATCTTTGGTAAACTACATAATCCATCATTAAGATTTTTTTAGTGAACAGAAGGGGCACACCCCTCTAAAATGGTAAAGAAAAACTCCCGCCAAGTCATAATAATTGGGCAGAAAAAACTACCAATATAAAACGCTGAACCACAGAACACACTAAAATGTGACTTATTACCATGTCTCCAGTGACCTCCTTTGGCATGATCTCCTTGGCCACGATGGCGCTCTGCACAAGGAATTTGTCCTTGCATTGCATGTCTGGCGGCACGTCCCGCTGCGCTTGCATTGTAACTGAACCCAATGATTCACGGTTGGTATAAGATGTTAAAATAAAGCCAGTTATGTCATGATAATTATGCGATCGCACTAAATTACCAACAACATTAGCTTTGGACCGGGGTGCCACCATGCCATTGTTTGGCCGAACACAGTACTTTTTCGGGCTTGTTGTCTTAACCTACAGTCGCAATGTTGCACAAGTTTAATCTCTAAGGTACCATTTTGTTTTACATAGCTTCTTGTGCCCGAAAATCCACAGGAAGGATTGGTTTACCTTGAACGCGACCTGCTTGTCTGTCTTGTTCGTCAGCTGCAGCGTGCAGGAGATCTGCTTATTTAATTCGACTGCATGACACAGAGAGCAAAACAGAGAGGAAGTCAGGGAACAAAGGAACAATACCGGACGACCGCGGGTTACCTCAAAATGACTAGAAACCAGAGAAAAATCATCGAAATGAACCCAGAAAGGATAAAAGAAATGAACCCGAGAAACAGCCCGTAGAAAATTATCGAATGGAAGCTCGACAAAGCACATCAAAATTTCCCCGGATATGTATCGAAGCTACGGTGTTTAATCAGAAAATTTCAAGGAAATCAATAGAATCCGCGACGAAGGAAACAAAATACAAAAGACACATACATGGGAACCGGAGCTCGATGGGGTCGATCCCGAGCAGCTCCCCGGACTCGGTGTTCATCCTGGGCAATCAATCGAACGGGACGCAATCCGCGGTGGTGGGAGCGGCGAGGTGGGGACTCGGAATTTCGACGCTTCCCCTCCCCTCCACTCCCCCTGTCTCCTCTCTCTCTCTCTCTCTCTGTGTTTTTTTTCTCCGACTATATCTATATCTATATCTATATTCCTGAAGCAGTGGAGCAGAGGAGGAAGCGGAGGAAAACGGAGGGTCGAAATCGGGGAAAAAGCTCGGGATTTTGGAAGGGGCGAGAAGAGAAGCTGCCCTGGCTCTGGCCGCTACCGGCTACCGCTACCTCTATTCGTATGAACGGACACGTCCGCGCGAGGGAGGCGGGGAGGTTGTCCGTTCACGGTTCACACGAGCGAGGTAAAGAAACGAGCAGTTTGTATAACACAGGATATCGTATAAAAAAAATATTGTTTTTCAACTTAAAGTTTCTATGAGTAATAATTATTTTTTTTTCTCTCTTAACTCTATCTTCTTCCTCCAATGAGAGTACGGCACGAGCCCCCTAAAAACTGGTAGTTTCTCCCCAGTGGCGATTTCATGGTTTCTTGGTGCATTGGGTCAAGAGAAGACCTGATTTCTTCATAAGGAAACAATTTCTAGGATTTTTGCTCTCTTTCTTTATTAATTACGTTGCAATATCAACGTTTTACCTACGTAACAAATCATTTAATAAGGATAGAAACAATCATCAATACACCATTGAGACTGCCCTATAACAGGAAGGATGCGCGCCGTCTCTTTCCTTCCCCAGACGACCAGACCCCAGCTATGAGCTGCTTGCTAGTTGCTATACCCCAGCTATGAGCTGCTTGCTAGTTGCTATTGGGCCCTGTTTAGTTGCACCTCAAAATGCCAAATTTTTCAAGATTTTCCGTCACATCGAATCTTTAGACACATGTATGAAGCATTAAATATAAATAAAAAATAAAACTAATTACACAGTTTAGACGAAATCCATGAGACGAATCTTTTAAACCTAATTAAACTATGATTAGACACTAATTACCAAATAACAACGAAAATACTACCGTGTTATTTTGCCAAATTTTTCGGCATCTAAACTGGGCCTTGCTATTGCTATTGCTATTGCTATCTATCTGCCCGCAGCCCGCCCGTTTTTCTTCGGAGGCCGGAGGAGGGGTCAGAACTCAGGACTCAGGAGGCGGATGGTTGCCGCGTTTACATTCGAGGCCGTTTCGCGTCCGCATCGCGTAGGACTTGTGCCGCCCCCCGCGGCCCTGCCAGTTCTTCTGGATTTCCATCGGTCGCCACAAACGCTCGGCTTGGCTCGAATCCCGGCCTCTCGTTTCGCGCGACCGGACCGGACGTCAACGGTGTCTTCCTGCTGCCGGCGGCAGCAACACGCAAGTCGCGCGAGGTGTCACGCTCCAGGCCACATGTTGCCGCGGCACGGAACCCGCCTTCCGTGCTGCCTTCTTCGAAGGACCGATTTATAGCGAAACGGTGAATTGACAAGCACGTGTTGCTGCGTTCGTACCTCTTTGGTCCTTTTCCTGAAGCCAATTGTGAAGTGATGTCTCCAGAGAGTTCCGAGTTTGCAACTTCAAGCAAACCTGGTACGTACGGTGTTGCTATTCTTGAACCGGCATGGAAGCGCTTCTGACTTCTGGTTCCTGTTTTTGGTGGGGACTGCCGGATTGGGCCAACTGGCTCCTGAGTACTCCGTCCAGTTTCTTAAACGATGTCGTTTTGAGGTAAGTCAAACATTTTAAATCTTAACTACAAATAAATTCTTTTAGGTTGAGTTTGAAAATATGAAAGTGATGTAAATAGATTCATCTCAAAATGTAGTTTCATAAAAGTAATATATTGACTATATTTTATAAATATTTTATAATAAAAAATAATGATCAAAGTTGTTTTTTCAAAGACCACGTTGCTATCCGAAACAACATCGTTTAGGAAACTCGGGAGTAGGAGTAGAAAATAGACAAACAGGAATATCCCGTCAGAGGGTTCTACTTCTGCCGGACACTCGGTGGGTCTCGACAAGTTACCCCAGATGCACATGTTGGAATAGAAAAGAGGCTGGTTGAGTGGATGATGCTTGATGTTGCTCCGTTTGTTATGAATTATGATACTGTATCATATAGGAGTAGTGTCCCCGAAGAGAGATTAATGTTTTCCTCACATGTCTATGCTTCAGACGGCAAAGTTATTAATAATCGGAAATATGTTCCTTTCTCTTTTTTTTGAAAGGAATTCCTTCCATTTTTACCTGAATTTAGTCTGGGGCAATTCGAATCTCATATGAAAATCTGTAACAACTTGCGGAGAGAAAAAAAATCTCGTCTCATAAACTTATAAGAAAAGAAAGTTTCCCGCGTCCAAATAGATCGATGATAAGCTTATAACCTTAGCATCAGAGCTTTGAGGATTTCCTGGGGAAGTTTCATTATTGCTTTAGTAGCCTAAGGAAGATTGCGGACAGTGGCAGCCACGTACTCGTCCATCCAAAAACAATGAACTTTTAGCTACATGTGTTAAGTCATACAATTTTTAGTTTGAGCAATTGTTTGTTATCACTAACCTAATATAGGTGTTTTCAAAGGAGGCCTGCAACACAAAAAATGAGAAAAAACTCTATCCTTTTTCTTTTGACATTATCATGCCGCCACATAGGGGGCATGTAGATATCAAAAAGGGGATTCTATCACTACCAACTAATTTCTTCTGACCTAGGATCTTATAAGTTTGGTATTTTACTTTAACCTAAATGAAAGAAGACTTCCATATCTAAGTTTAGTTTAGACGTGACCCCTTCTTTTTGGGCGTGGAATCAAGGTTAACCCAAAATACACACAAGCATAAGCATCAGTTCTCCTAGAAACTGAGGCAATTAAGCCACACCTTCTAGTAAGACTACCTTGTTACGACTTCACTCCAGTCGCAAGACTAGCCTTAGGCATCTCTCTCCTTACGGTTAAGGGTAATGACTTCAGCCAAAACGTACTCCTATAGTGTGATGGGTGGGGTGTACAAGGCCTGGGAACAGATTCACCGCCATATGGGTAACTGGCACATACTAGCAATTTCTACTTCATGCAAGCGAGTTGCAGCCAGCAATCCGGACTATCAAACTCGACAAATTTACCCCCCCTAAGTTGGGACATGAGAGTAACTACGTCTGGCGATACTAGATTTTGAGAATCCATACCATAGTTTTGCCCTCAAACTAGGATTTATTTTGTCGACGGTGGCCCAAATGGCTACCAATAGGGATAAACTAGGGTTTGTTTTTGTCGATGGTGCCAAATGGCTACCCCAGTAGGGATAAGTTAGTGTTTCCTTATTCTTTTATTAATTAAATTAAATTGATTATATAAAAATACTAGACTAATATATGTTATAAATCTTCGTATCCAAAGGTCCATAAGAGTATCTCCATCAGATTGAGGATATCCGATCCCGTATATGGAGCTAAAGGAAATTGAGAAAACACACATTTGGAGTACAGGGAAACTGTTCTCGAGCAAGTTGAGGAAAATATCATCCCCTTTATCAGTGTTGGCCTGTTGGGTGCTGTCGTGGATGAGGTGTTGGTGCCCTGAGCCCCAAGCTTGGTGCGATACGTGAGAATTGAGATTTTGCTTATATTGTGTAGATTCGCGGGCCTTTTCCAGCATGAGTGTTAGGCTAGAGATATCATCAGGTACGTAGCACTTGAATAATTGTATATTAGTCATTTGGTGTATGTTGAATTAATGAATTATATTAAGGTGTTAATAGCCTGTTATGGACTGCTATCTTTTCTAATGAAAAGTACCATCTTCAATCTTTAAATTTGCCATATTTTAGTTATTCACGTGAGATACGTCGATAATAAGAATACATTGTGTATATGACCTTTTATGCTGTTATAGCAAACGTGCCATTGCATTGCAACAGAACCCAATACATGTTGTAATCAGACTCTGTATCATTTTTCGAGGCGAGATGTTCTAACTCGTATGAGCAAGGTCATGACTCCGGGTTACATACGAGATATGGTGAACGTGATCCAGTACGTCTTGTATCGGACTCCACATTGATTATTGCAGACGCGAGTTGTTCTAACTCATATGAACATAGATCATGAGTCTGGGACACATACGAAACATGGAGGGTATGGGACCGGACCAGACCGGCGGTTGGACCGCTAAAAGACTGAACCAGAGCCTAAACCGGTCCGGTCACTTAAAAGACCACATGTGCAATCAAACCAGAAAAACCGGTTAGGCCGGCCGGTTTTTAACTGAACCGGACGGTTTTCATGCGAACCGTCCGGCTCGTGGCTGGCGCTGTGTGCAGACTGCATGCAGCGTGCTGCTGAGTCTGGCTGGTCACTGATGGCATGCGCCTGGGCTGCCAGTCTGTGGACATGGGCCCCGTGGGCTACTGGTGCTGAAGCCCACTCGGCTTAGATGTTGCATGCGATTGATTTTTGGTGACGCTAACATGAGCTGATGAGCTAATGTTCCACTAAAAAAAAATAACATGAGCTGATGTCATCGCTGACTTTTTAATTTCGTAATTTCATAAATTTTCATATGAACTCTAAATTTGATAAATAACATATTTCTTTTGACTATTTCAACAAGCTCTTCGTAACCGTATAATTCATTTTATCATTTAAAATTATTTTGGAATGGTGAATATTTAAATTACTATTTAAGACCTTTTTTACCAATTTGTAAGTGCTCCATATATTATATTTTCATATGAATTTTTTACATATCTTGTCAAACAACTTTAGAGCACCAAAACTTGTAAAACTTGTTAAACTAAGACCTAGCTTAGTACGATGCATTATGAAATGTTGTGCTTTATTATCTTTTGGCGATTGATTGCTTGAGTGAAGAACTGCCAACAAACAAATGCTAATTTTAGAGTACCTATTGTGCACTTGTGGCTAAATTAGTTGGAAGCTTGTTAGATAATTGTATTTTTTTATCATCTTATTTGTATGTGTGATCAACTATATATTGCTA